GCTCAGGTCCAAACAGAACCAAGCTTAGCAAGATCTAGGAGCTATCCAGGAAAACAACAGTTAATAACTTCAGTCCTGACTATTCCTATCTCCCACGCTCCCAACACTGGCAACATTTTACATTTCTCAGCCAAGATGCTTCTTCATTAAGCCTCTGCCTGGGAGTTTAAAAATGTAAGGATGAAAAAGAACAGAGGAGAGGAAATGCAAGAGGGAAAAAGGACAGAGTGTGGGTAATAGGAAGACAGGTAAAATCTCAGCTTTACTATTAAAAACTTTGGAACCTTAGACAAGTTATTTTCTAAGGCTTAGTTTCCCCATTTGAAAATAGGTTTAATGCTCGGACTTGAGGGGGCGGAGGGGGGTAAGGGCAACATATGTAACCTAAACATCTGTACCCCATAATATGCTGAAATAAAAAAACAAAAAAGAAAAAAAAAGAAAATAGATTTAATAAACTCTGCATCATAAGATTATCATGAAGATTACATGAGATGATATATGTGTCTGGCAAGTAGTAGGTACAAAATTAAACAAAAACACCTAATATATATTGAGTGTTTATAATGAGCCAAATCTTAGGCTAGGTAAGTCACCTATACCACTTCAGGCTTAATTACTAATATTATTAATTATTATTACCAACATCAAATAAAGAAGAGGAAAAGAAAAAGAAAGAAATCTTGAATCCATATAAGAACTGTAGGGGCCTTAGGGGTAAAAAGTCCAAATCCAAAATTGTACAGATGAAGGAACCCATGGCCAGGGACACAGTACCTTTTATAAGCTCATATGGTTCTTTAGCAGCAGAATCTGGACTAGAATCCCAGCTTTCCAGCTCCATGTACAGAAGGTGGGAGATGTAGGTAGGAAGAATTTCTGGAAGCTGTGGTCACCCTTTTGGGAGTGGTAGTTCCATGGAAACTGGCCTCGTCCATCACCTGTCCATGCAGCCAGCACCCTCACAGCCCACATGAGGAGCATGACTCCTATTCATATATGCTCTGTTCCATCACCTACAGGCTCATAATTACGTGGGAACACATATGCCTTTGGTTTCTGAGACCATCATTAAGAATTGAGTGAGCTGCAAGCAAGCAAACAACTAGGCAGGAAACCCTGGATTAAAGCTAATCCCCTTGCTTTATAGACACTCATCAGAGAGTGGCTGTGGGTCCTACAGAGAAGAAGCAGAGCCAGCTTCAGGGAGCTCGCCAGCCCTTCATCTGCCTGGGGAATCTCAGTTTAGAAAACATTAGTGTTTCATGTTTTTCTCTGATAGGCACTGCAATGATTCCCACTCATCCCTGCAAAGTGTCAGAAAAGCCTGTAAAACAGTAACAGCTAGGCTTCTTAATGCATTCCCAATATCAAATTTCAACTTAATTGAGTAGGGTTAATTTTTTTTCCTGAGCAGCAATCAAACTTTAATTAATACTCTATTAAAATGAATTCCTGGGGGAACATGAGCATGCATACACCTAATGAGTTCATCTGCCAAGGGTGTTATTATGGAGGATGCTAAATGTGCCTCCTTACTGGCCACTTACTCAATCTCAGAGTACCCCATGCGAATCAGAAATGAAAAGCAATCACGGGTCTGCAACCCTCTTCCTCTCTATGGGGGCCCTGTGCCCTGCCTGCAGCTTAACATGATCCATCCTCCCTTCCCCTTTCTCTGCCTGGTGAATGATTCAGGCTGGGATTAAGCCCCACTGGCTTCCTCCATGGAGGACACGTCAGCCCCCCCTCCTTCACTGCCCACCAAGCCACATTCAGGCAAGGTGAAGACCAACTTTAACATCACCCTGCTGCAGACTTCATTAAGAAAATGAAGTCCCCTGTTTAAAAAATAAATAAAACAAAATGGGAAATAAAGTAAAAACATAGAACACCTCTGCAAACTCTGTATGCTCCTTGCTGGTAGCAAAGATATCTGACCAAAGTTCTGCGGGACTCTAATTTCTGACAGGAAAGAGCAACTAAGAGAAATTGGGTGTGGGATGGAAGAAAGTCTTTGCTTTTCTTATATTCCCCTTGCAGTGACTGTTTCTGCACGAGGGATTCCCAAATTTCTCCAGCTGCAGATTGAATGCTCTAGCAGACCCCCCAAAACTACCTGCCTCCATGGTGCCCCTTCCTCGCTAGAAATGATGCCCAACTTTATAGAGACCTAAACGCAGGTTATCAGGAGTGAGTTGTTAATGTTACCAAAGTTAGGAGGCTAGTAACCCACAGACTACCCAGGACCCTGGTCAGACCTTCAGGGCCATTTTACTAGGAAGCCAACCTGACCCTCCCAGGACGGAATCCTCTCTCTCCACTAGCTCCCCTTACCTCTTTGGTGTGTGTGTGAAAGGAGACAGACATGTCCAGGAGAAGCTTCCGCTGCTCCACCCTGCGCACGAAGTCTTGGATGCGCACCTCCAGGTGTCGAGCTGCCTTGTAGATCTCCTCCGGGTCACATTCCCCAGTCTGAGCCAACTGCTCTGCTGCTTCTAGAAGCTTGTCCGCATTGGTGTATGTATTCTGTCAGCAACAACAGTGAGGCAAAGTCAACTTGCAGTCGCACCTTCCTGCAGCCCACCCCGGGGCTCCCCCCTGAGCTGGAGCGGAGGGGCGTAGGCACTGAGCCGACAGCTCCCTGAGCTGGCACGGAGGCGCTGTGTGCGGAGCTGGCACGCCGCCTCTGAGCAAGCTAGCAGCCTGCCCGGCTGCCGGCACAAGCGGGCACTAGCTAGGTGCCTCGTCCGCCCCTGGGACTTCTTGGAGGTGCAGCGTCCCTGAAAAGAAGTGCGGAGACCTGCAAGAAGCTCCGTATCCCATCCGCTCCCTAGCCCCCACCCTCGCGAAGACCCATCATTGCCTTCACGTCTCAGGCTGAACTGCCAGGATCGGAAATAGCACACCCACAAAGACGGTCTGTGCTTCTGTGTGAGAACACCAGGAAAACACTAACTGGGTGACTTGCTTTGCTTCCCACCCGCCGCCTAGTTCCCTGTAACTACTGGTGTTATCTTTTGGAACAGAGTTATCTCTTTAGAGAGGAATGGGTAGGCAGCTCCAGGGAGATGACAGAAGAAAGCGGCTGCCTCCGGAGGGCAGAGATGCAGACTGCTCCCCACAGCCCCTTGAAGGTGTGCAGGACGGTTGGGGAGGAGTCTGGTGACTCTGTTTATCATAAGCTATTGCATGCACATGCGCACACACGTGTCTCCAACCCCCATGTGCACACACCAGGGTATTCTCCAGAGCATCTTCAAAGGCAACCAACTTGTAATCACTGTTCAACAGGGAGTTACTGCCTTTATAATAATTATTACATTACATGCCATAGATACAACCTTTCCTCAGCAGGCTTCTCTTTAAAAACATCTCCTGATATATCCTGATGTACAACTGGTGACTCAAGTGTACATACATTTTTTAATATCCCTAGAAGTCGGCACAATGCCCTACAGCAGTGATCCCCAACCTTTTTGGCACCAGGGACCTATTTCATGGAAGATGCTTTTTCCACAGACAGGGCGGGGCAGGGGGGTGATGGTTTCGGGATGATTCAAGCACATTACATTTATTGTGCATTTTATGGCTATTATTATTACATTGTCACTTGCCACTCACTGATAGGGTTTTGGTATGAGTCTGTGAGCAATTGATTTGTTATGGTCTCAGTGCAGTCAAACCTCTCTGATAATGATGATCTGTAACTGCAGCCGCTCCCCAACACTAGCATCACCACCCCAGCTCCATCTCAGATCATCAGGCATTAAATTCTCATAAGGAGCGTGCAACCTAGATCCCTCGCATACGCAGTTTACAGTAGGGTTCGTGCTCCTGTGAGAATCTAATGCCGCTACTGATCTGATAGGAGGTGGAGTTCAGGTGGTGATGCAAGCGATGGGGAGTGGCTGTAAACACAGAGGAAGCTTTGTTTGCTCACCCACCACTCACCTCCTGCTGTGCAGCCCCGTTCCTAACAGGACAGGTCTGCAGCCTGGAGGTTGGGGAATGCAGCCCTAGATAGTGGTAAACAAGCAGAGCAGTCGGTATCAAACACCCCGGGAGTGGAGAATTGAAATGGATTTATGAGCAATGAATGGTGTTTTGTTTTGCCAATGGTGAAGTGGCCTCCACATCTCCATGGAGTATTTTTGGACTCACCTGAAGACCTGGGTATTATGGGCTGAATTGTGTCCCCTCAAAATTCACATGTTGAAGTTTTAACCCCCAATATCTCAGAATGTGAACTTATCTGGAAATAGGATCATTGCAGATGCAATTAGTTAAGTTACAATCAAGTCACACTGGAGTAGGGTGGGCCGCTAGTCCAATATGACTGGTGCCCTTACCATAAAAAAATGCCACGTGACGAGACACATGCACACGGAGAGAACATCATGAGAAGATGAAGGCAAAGATTGGTGGATGTATCTACAAGCCAAGGAATGCCAAAGACTGCCAGCAAACCACCAGAAGTTAAAAGAAAGGCATGGAGCAGATTTCTCCCTCATATCCCTCAGAAAGAACCAACCCTGCTGACATTTTGATCTCAACTTCTAGCTTCCAGAACCGTGAGAAAATAAATTTCTGTTGTTTAAGTCATGCAGCACTTTGTTGTGACAGCCCTAGGAAACTAATATGCTAGGCTTGACTTTTTCAGAGCTGTTGACCCAGCCTGTTGATTGTACTGGCGTAGAACCTGGAGGAGATGGGCTGGCAGTCAGCAAACACTTGTCATGGTTTTTAGGAATTCTGAGAGAGAGGCCCCAGGGGACCCTTGAGGAATGCTGCCTGGAAAGCAACTTCCCAAAGCAAACACTGTCCCAGTGCTGGAGAGATGGGGCTTGAAAAGAGGAAAAACCATTCAGCCCCAACTGGGAAATTCATACAAAAAGAGAGCAGCCTCATGTGAAGAAAGGGGCTTTTCCACCGAGTTAAATGAGTTTGGCATGGGAGAGCCAAAGGTAGTTTTCTAGATGAATGTAGATGGATCCTCAGCGGGGCTACCCACTCTATCCGTGTCCATCCCTCCTCTCTGTTACTACCAGTTAAAGAGGGGTATGTCAACTGTGGAAAGAGAATGAAGACTCATGGGGGAAATGCAGGTAGTGATGGGGAATGACAGGCAGAGGGCGCCCTCTGGGGCTGTGGGCCAGGTTAAGGAGGGCTCCTGTGAGGTTGTCCACAATTTCTAGTATATATACCTACAGCTGATGGGAGAGAGGTTTTTTAGGAATCCCTCAAAGTATCTACCTTAAACCCTAGGATATCTCAGGAATCCCTAAAGAAATTCAGATGTTGTAACTATATATTTTCTAGACAATAAATAAAAATTTGTGGCAAAGCCAAAGTGAACCTGCTTGCAAATTAGGTTTGAGATCAAAAAGAGATAAATAAAAAGCAAACTCAAGTGTCTACTGGGTGTAAGGTGGTCGACTTGTCTTGGTTTTCCCAGGACTTCCCTGATTTTAGCACAGAAAGTCCTGTGTCCCCAAAACACCCTCACTCCTGGGAAAATTGGTATGGCTGATCACCCTAATACATACCCAACACTGAGAGTATCTCAGCATACAGATAAATATAAAATATGTATCTCAAAGGAGAATAAAATCATCCTTGAGAGAAATAACATCCTTGAGAGAAATAACATAAAATAGGGCAAATAGCATAATAATAGATAATTAGAGGTTAAAGTTTCTTGACACAATATAGGTGCTGAAAAGAAAGTAAGTAAAAACTGAGAATAATAGCTAATAATTGTTAAATATTTTTCATACGCCAAGAACCATTCCAAGGGTTCTTATGCATATTATCTCCTTTAACCCTCACAATAACCTTATGAAGTTGATTCAGCCATTGGAACCATTTTACAGGTGAAGAAACCGAGGTACAAAGAATTTCTGGGCCAGGCGTGGTGGCTCACAACGGTAATCCTAGCACTTTGGGAGGCCGTGGCAGGAGGATGGCTTGAGCCCAGAAGTTTGAGACCAGCCTGAGCAACATAGTGAGACCCTCTCTCTTTAAAAATTTTAAAGAATTAGCAGGGCCTGGTGGCACATGCCTGTAGTCCTTGCTACTCAGGAGGCTGAGGCAGAAGAATTGCTTGAGCCCAGGAGTTCAAGGTTACGGTAAGCTATGATCAGGCCACTGCACTCCAGCCTGGGTGACAGAGCAAGACCCCATCACTAACATAAATAAATAAATAAATAAATAAATAAATAAATAAATAAATAAAATACAAATAAAAAAAAAGAATTTCTGGCCAAGGTCACATGGCTGGTAAATGGTAGAATTAGGATTAAAACCCTGTTGTCTGGCTTCAGAGCTGAACCCATTATACCACCCTGTTTCTATAGAGAGTATAGGCAGGGGCCTAAGAATGGGTAGGATTTAGCAGAGGAGGAAGGAGTCTCATAAACAGGCTCTCTTCTTTTTGTGCCCAGGGTATTCTATGTTTATCCCATAACACAGCCATTGTCATATTCCACAGTGACAATGTATCTCCATGGTATCTCCCTACTGGTCTGTGAGCTCATTAAGGCAGGTTCCATGTCTCATTCGTCTTTGGCTCTCCCATGCCAAGCACTGTGGCTGGTACACAACAGGCACTCACTAAATGTCTGTTGAATAAACAAGACACAAAGATAGGAATGCGTAGGCATGTTTGAATAAGTTGACTCAACCTGACTAAAATTGGAAAGAGGCGGGAAATCGGGTTGGATAAGGCAGGGAGGAGCCAGACGATAGAATTTACAGGGAGAGAGGGACAATACAGACAGGGGGAAGGCAATGGGGTCAGTGCCAAAAGCTGGGCTCCCCACTCTATCTGTGTCCATCCCGCCTCTCTGTTACTGCCAGAAGGAGCTTCTAAAATTCAGATCCAATCACATCTGTCCTCTACTTAAAACTGTTCTGTGACTTCCCACTGCCTTTGGGGTGAAATGCCTCGGTACGGTGTACAAGGCCCTTCTTCGTCTGACACTTGCTTTTTCCCTTTAGCTTCAACTCACATCACTCCCCTACAAATACCCTATAAAAGAAATTACTTGCATTCCCAGAAACTCATGGCACTGAATCTTGTCTCTGCGCCTTTGCTTTTCTTTCGTCCTGGGATGCCCTTACTCTCACTTTTCTACTTGATCAACTCTTATTCACCTTTTAAGAACTAGCCATGGCATCATTTCTTCCAGGAAGTCCACCCTTGTACCCTCTTCTCTCTTGAGGCTGGCTTAAGTACCCTCCACTGAGCTCCCAGAGTGATCTGTACCAATCCCCTCCCTGGTACCTGCCATATTCTAATGCAAATATTTGCCTTTCTCAAACTCTTAGGGGCAGATGTCTTTCATCTCTTTCCCTTAGTGGCTGGCACAAAGTAAATGCTCCATAAATATTTAGTGAATGAATTAATAAATTAAAGAGTACATCAATCCCCACCAATCCTAATACTCAACACTTGGCCCTCATCAACTACCTGCTATAAGAACTTACGTGCTAGAATTCACATTCAATGTTCAGTCCCCTTTGGC